TGAAGGGCCTAAGCTAATGGGTAAGAAGAGACTAAATACAAAAAGTCTTGTGCAGGGCTGGACTAAGGTTATTGAAGGGCCTAATGCTAATGGGTAAGAAGAGACTAAATACAAAGTACATATTTTTAAAAATTATGACCTCAAACACTGGCCTACATATATATTTACATATTATTTGTTTATGTAAAATTAACACATTTATTCTACTACACTCAGTTCTTCAAAGAGATATTCCTGAGTAAGCGATCGCACGAGTGATAATGCTTTACTGTCCCTCTCATAGGCCTCCTTCCTCCTAAGCAGCAGAGTGCTAATCTGTAAGAGGAAGAATACCACAATGTTCCCCATCATGCTCACCTCTTTCAAACCTCAGCTCTCCACATGGTGCAGGGCAAAGTCAAGTCCTGCAGGTGTTTCCCCCAAGTTATGGATTCTAAACCACATGGCCTCTCTCACTCTGGGTACAGTGTGGGAGGCATCTGGTTTTTATTATGTAAAAGAAAATCCACTGCAATAGAGGAAGTCGTAATGGGAAAATTACATTGGGTGGCATTGTATTTTCAGCTCTCTTGCTCTGAAAGCTGTCTTCCAGTGTTGCAATGGCTGAGGGCAATGAACTACTGATTTCACACTGAACCCAAGTATGATGATACCCCAGTGATTCACTACATCGGGCCATTCTGTCACCAAGTTCTTCCACAGTTAGAATCCTAGAATAGAATTATAGTACTGGAAGGGATCTTAAGAGCTCATCTAGTCTGGTTCTCTGCACTCATGACAGGACTAAGTATTCTAAAATGTATGCTCAGTAGCTGTGACATCAGGGTATTTTAAAGCATGAGTTCAGTTTGTATTTGCTTAAGCTTTCTGTAAGAAAAGCGTAACATCTAGAAGTGACACAGATCTTTACCAGTCATATCATCTTATTGCTTAAATATCACTGTGTAAACATTACACAGATTTAATCTAAAGACTTTCAGCTTGTGAATGAGTAACAGTTCTTAAAAGTACAAAGATACGTTGGCTTGTGGAACTTGGCTCAGCAGAAGGAAAGAACTTGATTTCTTGTGCATCCCAATACAGAAAAAAACAAAGACAAAAATTGGATTTATTTGATTTTTAATAAATTTCAATACAGTATTGGACACAGTGCATCATAAGTCTGAATCCCCTAGCTGGAAGGTACTGTAAAAATGCAAATTCTAATATCTAGAATGGGACATTTTGTTTTGTTTTTCTTAAAGATGTGTGGGAATAATTTCCTTATACATGGCAGGGTGGAAGGCCATAGTTCTGACTGGAGCTGCATAGAGTGTGCGTAGGATTGGTACAAGCTCCCCACCTTACCACTCTGGTACTGCCTCTTCCTCCTGACACTCCCTTGTCCTGTCTCCCTCAGGCACTCACCAGTTGTCCAGAAATGGGGCCCAGCATACATGGGTCCCAGGACCCAGACCACAGTGACAGGCACTAGAATCCAGGAGGCACTGATTAATCGTGATTAATTTCTTTTAAAATTGCAATTAAAATTAGCTGTGATTAATCAACAGCCCTAATTAGAACCTTATCTTAGAAATGAGAGCATTGATATCAAGATTAAAATCAATTAGAATCATATGGTAATCACTGTAGGTAGGGACTTTTTATAGTCTCATAATTTTTACATTGTCAGATTTTTCTTAGAAATGAGGGGTCATTAATATATAAATTCGGTAAGGAGCTTTCACAAAAAACCCTTTTCCCCTGAAGAAGAGAAGAAGAAAAAGAGCTAGTTTACTTGTAGGATTAAGAAAATTAAAAAGAGAAAAAAGTCTGTCTATGTTCTTTCCAGTCAGTCATAATATCAAAATGAAGTTAAGTTCTGGTTAGGGGCTTTAATATTTAATACAATTGTACCTATGTTCTTTCCAGCCAGTCATATTATCAAAATGAATTTAAGTTCTGGTCAGGGGCTTTAATATTTAATACAATTGTAATTTGGAACAAATTGATGAACTTAACAGTAACAAGTTACTGGGACCAGATGGCATTCACCCAAGAGTTCTAAAAGAACTCAAATGTGAAATTGCAGAACTATTAACTGTGGTTTGTAACCTATCCTTTAAATCAGCTTCTATACCTAATGACTGGAAGACAGCTAACATGATGCCAATATTTAAAAAAGGCTCAAGAAGTGATCTTGGCAATTACAAATGGGTAAGTCTAACATCAGTACTGGGCAAATTAGTCGAAACTATAGTAAAGAATTGAATTGTCAGACACCTAGATGAACATAATTTGTGGAGGGAAAGTCAACATGATTTCTGTAAAGGGAAATCATGCCTTACTAATCTGCTAGAGTTCTTTGAGGGGGTCAACAAACATGTGGACAAAGGGGATCCAGTTTATATAGTGTATTTAGATTTCTAACAAAGACCCTCACCAAAGGCTCTTAAGTAAATAAATTGTCATGGAATAAGAGGGAAGGTTCTTTCATGGATTGAGAACTGGTTAAAAGACAGGAAACAAAGGGTAGGAATGAATAGTAAGTTTTTCAAGTGGACGGAAGTAACTAGTGGGGTCTCCCAAGTGTCTGTTCTGGGACCAATTCTATTCAACTTATTTATAAAGGATTTAGAGAAAGGGCTAAACAATGAGGTGGCAAAATTTGCAGATGATACCAAACTGCTCAAGATAGTTAAGACCAAAGCAGACTGTGTAGAGCGTCCAAAAGATCTCACCAAACTAAGTGATTGGGCAACAAAATGGCAAATTAAATGTAATGGTGATAAATGTAAAGTAATGCACATTGGAAAAAATAAGCCCAACTATACATACAGCATGATGGGAACCAATTTAGGTACAGTTACTCAAGAGAGAGATCTTGGAGTCATTGTGGATAGTTCTCTGAAAACAGCCACTCAATCTGCAGCGGCAGTCAAAAAAGCAGATAGAATGTTAGGAATCATTTAAAAAGAGATAGAGAATAAGACAGAATATATCTTATTGCCTCTGTATAAAACCATGGTACAGCCATGTCTTGAATATTGCATACAGATGTGGTCATCTCATCTAAAAAATTATATATTGGCATTGGAAAAGGTTCAGAAAAGGGCAAAAAAAATTATTAGGGGTTTGGAATGGTTCTCATATGAAGAGAGATTAAAAAGACTTGGGCTTTTCAGCTTAGAAAAGAGGAGACTAGGGGGTGATATGATAGAGGTCTATAAAATCATGACTGGTATGGAAAAAATGAATAAGTTATTTACTTATTCTCACAATATAAGAACTCAGGGTCACCAAATAAAATTAATAGGCAGCAGGTTTAAACAAACAAAGGGAAGTTTTTCTTCTCACAGTACATGGCCAGCCTCCTTGCCAGAGGAGGTTGTGAAGGCCAGGACTTTAGCAGAGTTCAAGAAAGAACTACATAAATTCATGGAGGTTAGATCCATCAATGGCTATTAGCCAGGATGGGTAGGAATGATGTCCTTAGCCTCTATTTGTCTGGAAATAGATGACAGGAGAGGGATCACATGATGATTACCTGTTGGTTTCCCTCCCTTTGGGGCATCTAGTATTGGCCACTGTCGGCAGACAGGATACTGGGCTAGATGGATCTTTGGTCTGAGCAGTATGACTGTTCTTATGTTCTTATTATTTTCTTATTAGGATGTGGATTGTATGAAATATCATTGAAACTGGTGAAGAGAAGCCAAGACCTTCTTTAAGATAGCTGTAAGAAACTATTGTGCTCTTTCATGGAACCAAAAAACAAATAATAGCAGCTTTCACCTAAAACCCAGGCATATGTACTGTCCACAGCAAATGCACATGAAGGCAGAGGGGTTATGCTGGGCGCTATTTTAGCAGAAATTATTAAAAAATAAAGTTAAATTTTGCTTTTTTAAGATTTTGTTAAGAGATGTTGAATCTCTTATTGGTTCAAAAGGCACACAACCCAGTTTGCTGAAATTGGGTGTACTGCCAAAAAAAAATTACAAAATAAATTATTTTGAATGATAAATACTTCATGTGGCATCATGTCCCAATAATTTACTTAAATTATATATAAAAAAAAATAGTCTCAGATTACTAATATCAAAGATTCCAAATGTAAGCCAGGACTCAATCTAATTTTACATCAACAATTTATTTAGATCAAATTAAAAGATTTCTAATTGCTTTCCCCCCCCTCACTAAACTTAGCAATTTGTATATGGGAAACATCAATCATATGGTAGAATAGAAATTAACTGTCATAGCAGCAAGAAACTGCCATCTTGTGACAATATTCAATTCCATTAACATTAATGTTTCTCATTAACAGTGGTAACCTGGTTAGTTTCATGTTGCTCTTGCTTCCTGTTTCACTATAGAACTGAATTGGAAGTTCCAAAGTTATCATTTAATAACAAATTTACTCCATAGCTTCACAGTGGAAATGTGTCACCACATTTTCAACAAGGCTTTGGGGCTAATGCAGATTAATTATTCATAGTGAGTTATACAAATATTAACACTGACACATAACGTTGTATTTAACAAGCATCTTATACTTACTTATTGTTCAGTTGCTTACTATTTATTTATGAAACTTGTCATAAAAATTAAAGAAATAAGTATGAAAAGTATTTAGTATGGCATGATGTGTAAGTGCATCATGATGAAATATTACTATGAGATACTTCTGAGAACATATACATTTGTTTTAAATGCTATATAAATAATTCCCTTCAGCTCATGGCAGAATAAAAAAGAGAGAAAACTAAATTAAAACAAGTAAAGCAAAATTAGTAAGCTTTTCTACTTAAAGACAAAACAACACAGTATATTTATACTGTATATCATTTAACTACTGTATTTTCAATCACATGGATAATATTATGATTGATGGATCAAAACCTTGTAATTTAATAAGGTAGTTGAGAAATAAGGTAACTGAAAAAAATAATAATTCTGTTCTTCATTATCTCTAACATTTTGTACTGTGATCTTCAAGCACACCCTGATAAACTTACCTTCACTTGTCCAACAAAAGCATTCACTTCCTCTTCTTGTACAGACAGATTTTTAGGTAGAAAGGGATCAAAGACTGGTCCATTGTCATTTACATCAGTAACCACGACATTGACAGTGGCAGTTGAGGTCTGCAAGGAAAGATAAAATAGCGAATCAAGTATTTGCACTTTATGCAATTTATTGCATAGCTTATGTCTATAATTGTTTTGAAAAAGCATTAAACAGATTCAAATATCATTCTTTCTGGTCTGTGAAAAGTCAAGCCTTAGTCAGCTTTGTCTTTAGTTTGTCAGCTTTTGAGGGAATGAAAGGTGCATGAAAACAAAAACTATGGATTCATTTCATTTACTTTCAAAAAATATCAACATTTGTGATTTTCTACCAATATAGTAGATCATCATGAAAAACTGTTTTCTAGCAGAAGCAGCTAGCTTGACTATTGGACACATTCTTATTAAATACACAAAAACTAATTATTCTGTTTCATGTACAAAACCTAGGATGTAGCATTTAGTTTAATGCAATCTGTTCAAGACTTGGTACATACATAGCAGGCCACAGAAAATTATCTTTCAAAGTGAAATCACTAATAAAAGGTGACTTGGGACCTATCCAGTGTAATTGATTGTCTACAAACTGAGTTACTGAGCTTCATGTCAGGTATGAATCTATGGTGCACAAATTTGCCATGACTTTCACCATACCATAGCAGTGTCTGCGTGGCAAGATACTGCTTTGAACCTGGTGCACTATAGATTTACTCCCTCGCTTGATGCCAAGTAACTCACGATGTAAACAAAACCACTTCTTTCCTTATGAGACATGGTCACAGTTACAACATGGAAACATGGATACAGTTACCAATGAAGGTGCCATAACTACAGCTTCAATGTTATTAAAGAGCAAAAAGCTGCTTATAGGATGGTCTCCACTAGGAACCCATTCTTTTGGAAATCAGTTCTCCCCAGTCTGTAATAGCCCAGGGTTGTTAACCTTTATGTCAGGCTGCAAAGCCCTTCTTTCTTTCATTCTCAGATAGGGATCTAGGAGCAGAGTGAGGATGATGCTCTAGTGTTGGTTTGTTGCTGGAGATTATTATTCAATTGCTGTTGTATTTATGATGCTTTAACAAGTAATAAATACCTTGTCATCAGTTTGTCTTGTTTTGACCTAATGTACTGTAGATTGAGACACAAAGTATTTTTTTTAAATATATGAAAAATAATGTTCCATTTAACTATCTTCTTGTACTTGCATTTTGCTCAGTTGCTTACTATTTATTTATAAAAGTTGTCATTTCTATATTTAACTTATGTTAGGAATCTCAAGCTCTTTTTTAAGATGCACAAAACTACTGACAACAATTAGAAGGCTCTGGAACATTCATTGTTGATGGTACACAAGAAGGTCACTGAATTCAGATGGATTTTCATAAGCTAACCTGACAATCTCTTAAATTCTGTAAACAAAGAAAACACAACACAGAAATCATAGACTTAAGAAAATAATACCTGTCAGTTTGACATAGCTTTTTTTTCTATTACAAAGAAACTTTAATGAAATGTTTCTACAATGTGCTTGTTCCTTTCATGATGCTGTCAATAATAAGTCAACCTAGTGCATCATTTAGAACATTTAGATTTGTTACTCAGCAGCCAAAAAACATTTTGTCTGATTGCTTTTGAATCAAGTTTCTGAAAGCAAAGTTATTAAGATTTGCTTACAGACCCATCTTTGTGTCTGAAGAAAAATGACCCTCTGTGTATGTGTGTACACATACATATTACATGTATAAGTCAACATACTGTGGAAAATTCAATGATCACAGGCATTTTTTAAAAGACATAGAATCATAGAGCTGGAAGAGACCTCAGGAGGTCCTTGAGTCCAGCCCCCTGGCCCAAAGCAGGACCAATCCCAACTAAATCAACCCAGCTAGGGCTTTGTCAAGCCGAGACTTAAAAACCTCTAGGGGTGAAGATTCCACCACCTCCCCAGGTAACCCATTCCAGTACTTCACCATCCTCCACAAACATCCACAATGATTGTTTGTAATAGTATTAAACATTAAACCAATAAAGAAAACTTCTCTTTCCATACTCAATCCCATCTCAAACATCAGATTAAAAATGTAACCTATCATGGCTAGGGTATGTGTACACTATGAAAATATTTCAAATTTCTAAATTCGATTTAAATCCCAATTTAACAAAATCAACTAAATTCAATTTAAATCCCAATTTAACAAAATCAAACTAGCATGTCCACACTGCAGGGAAGCCTCAAAATTAGTCCAAGGCAAACTCTGTTAATGTGGATGCACTACCTCAGATTTAGAGCCCCAAGAAGCACTGATTAGTAATTAATTTGAATTATTCTGGGTAGCAATTATTTTGAAATAGCAGCACCAGAGAGTCCATACTAACGTTATTTCAAAATAAATATTTTGGAATTAGCATTAACAGGCTTGGTAGTGTGGATGCTCCACTTATAAATTCAACCCGGAGTGGAGGTGGGGTGTTATTTGGAAATAAAGTACTAGTGTACACCAGGGCCGAATGATCTTTCTAATAACAAAATTATAATGCTGGTCTCTAAGATATCTTGTATTAGTCTTGCTAAAAATGTTGTCTGCTAAAATGGTCATTATAGTCTTACCACAAATACAGTCTACTTGTTTGAAAAAAGGTGTAAATCTGGAGAGAGCTTTGGAGGGAACATTCTTTCAGCATTCAGCCACAAAAAGAAAGGGTGGAATTTAGTCATTCTTCAACACAACTTGAATTTTTATGTGAGGGGAACTTGTAATAAATCTCAGGAATTTTTGCAGTGCTGGGGTCATCCCCCGGGGCATTGAAGAAGAGGGAGATTTACTGAAGAGAGAAATGGGTGATTATCAGTATAAAGCAAAAGAAAGGAGAAACTCAGGAGGGTGAAAGGAACAAGATGCCAAACAAAATGCAACAGGGTGAAGCAGACCTTCCTTCAATCTGTGAGGCAAGATGGGGGAAGGGAACAAGTTTACTGCCCACTCCTGAGATATCTAAAGAGGTTTACTGGGAATCTGAAGAAGTTTACTGAAAGATTACTGATGGATAGAACCAAGGACTACTGATAATTACAGGAAAAACAAGGCTCCTTTTAGAACATAAAATCGTGAAGTCACATCATTGCTTTTATTTTCACCTTGACTATGCCTTACTATTATTACCGGGCAGATGCTGTTTTTGGCAAGTATTTGTGTTATTACATACATCATTGATGAACTAGAGGAGGTTAAGAAAAGGATCATGAGAATGGTCATGTATGTGGAATGATATTCATAGAAAGAAAAAATATTATGGTTGTTTGCCTTAGGAAAAAAAGATGAGCAAGAGCTGACAAGATAAAGTACACATAATAATGAATGCTACTGGAAAGGCAGATTGAAAGCATCTGTCCTCCCAGTTGCCAAACAAAAGAACAAGGGGAAGGTCAAAGACAATCTAAAATAATAAAAGAACACACTTTTTTCATACAATGTGTAACTCAACTGTGGAAGTCACAGCAAGGCCAAGGACTTAAGATCCTAGAATAGATAGGTAATAAAAATATTGTAAATAAATTATTAAGCCTCATGCTACATTATATAAACTAATCTCAATTAGAGATGAAAATAAGACCTATTATGAAGATTATTCCACAGCTGTATACTGTGGAATAATTGTGCTTCTCCCTGAAGTATGTGGTGCTAGCCTATCTAGAAGACAAGATACTGAATATACAATGACTCTGATCCACTCTGTCAATTCTTATGTTTTTATATATGCATGAATGTTGTAATAACTCATCCTGCCATAGAAGCACTATCATTTTTCAGCATTCATCTTGACCTGGGAGAAGCACAGCCTGAAAATTGTATGGATTTTGAGTCCCTCATTATATAGTCAAAATTAATCTAAAATTTACAATTAAGCACACACACTTTGGTTTGTCTGTTCATGGCACTCAAATGTGCCTCTTGATCTAGTACCAACATTTTAAAATAGAGATACCATAATTTCTATGATTGTCACAACTTAGTAAACTACTGGATGTAAATTAACTGAGAGATAATATAAAAATGTATATCCAAGAGGTATTCGCTTCCCACATCCCTTTTTGCTGTCAACTCATGTGTTCGAGATTCACGTCAAAAGAACACTTTGGAATTCTCTATTTTTCTCCCTAGACTCACAAACTTCTTTCAACTTCATCCAGCTTCATTATTATTTTTTATAATAATAGACATATTCAGAGTTAAATAGGTGCTATTTTTCACCCCAGTAAGGACATGATGTAAACCTTGTAGATGGTCTGCAACTCTGCTAACTACATTGTTCTCCTTTTGGATGGAGGTAACATCTGTTGGTGATTCTGCAGTTAGTTCATCTTGGTAACCACCAAACTCAGAAGATTGTGGGTGTTTATTCCAGTAAGGGACTCCAAAGTAAGGTTGCCAGGTGTCCGGTTTTTTATTGGAACACCTGGTCAAAAAGGCACCCTAGCGGTTCTGGTCAGCACTGTCAACTGCGCCATTAAAAGTCTAATGGGTAGCACAATGTGGCTAAAGAAGGCTCCCTGCCTGTTGTGGCTCCAGGCGGCTCCCAGAAGCAGCAGCATATTCCCTCTCCAGCTCCTACATATAAGGACAGTCAAAGGGATCCATATGCTGCCCCATCTCCCAAGTGCGGACTCTAATACTCCTATTGGCTGAAAACTACAGCCAATGGGAGCTGCACAAGCAATGCCTGCAGATAGGATCGTGTATAGAGCCACCCACCCACATTTCCGCGTAGGAGCCGGAAGGAGGACATGCTGCTGCCTCTGGGAAGTGCTTGAGGTAACTGCTTGGAGCCTGTATTCCAGATCACCTCCAGCACCTTACCACCTTCCCCAGCCCTTATCCCCTTCCTGCCCCCAAACTCCTCAGCTCCTGTCCTACCCCAGAGTCTGTACCCCGAGCTAGAACCCTTACCTTCCAACAAGAACCCCAATCTCCTGCCCCAGCTTGAACCTCCTTCTTTACCCTGAATCCTTCATTTCTGAACCCATCCTAGAGCCCACACAACGCTCCCCCCCAAGCCAATCTGGTGAAAATGATTGAGTA